TCACACTTTTCGGAACTATTGTGATAGACCTTAAGAGGGTGACTGGATTTAAATTGTGGGAGAGGTATTGGGGAAGGTATCTCTGAGGAACAGATTTTGTAAGCCAGGCTAACCAAGTCAAGGGAACAGTAGCATGGGTGAAAAGTTTGAAGTAGGCAAAGTTGTTGGCGTTATCAAGGAACTACAAGAAGACCAGTGCACATAAAGTATTATGATCAAGGCGGGCAAGAGTAATAGCAAATTTGCCAGTGCATTTGAGAACGTAGAACCCATTTTAAGGATTCTGGATTTTGCCCTGTGACCATGAAATGCCGTGAAAGGCTTTAAGAAAGGGAAGTGATATGATCTATGTTTCCAGAAAATCGCTCTGACTGTTTGAGGAATTTTTTAAATGATACATTTTAGTTCTTTTCCATATTGGTTGTTGTAGTATTCTTTCCTGAGTATAATTAAAACTCTAAAAATTTTACTCAGAATTCAGGATGTGCTTAGCTAGTAGTAACTTGATTTGGATACATATTTTTCAGAAATCCTTGCAGGACAGAAAAAAGCAAAAGGAATGCTTTTTGGGGCCACATGACATTTTATTCTTTGGTTAAAATATCTTTACTTCCTGTGAAACCTTTATAAAATTACTTATGTTCCCTTATTTGTACTAAGTGGCTGAATAAACAGTCATGAGGAGACACACTCAGGCAGCTTGTATGTTGGGTGCACAGACTACATTCATCATTGTAACTCCACAAATGTGAATTCTCTGGAGCTGTTATATATGAAGTACATTTATTTCTAAGAGAATGCCTACTGATCTTGCTCCTACCCCATTTTGTCCATATTAAAGGTTTCTTTTACCTGTGTATCAGCAATGATGATGTGCTAATATTGAAAAGTTACTCCTTTAAAGACAAAGCACCCTTGCAGTCAAATAAAGGGGGAGAAAGAGGCATTGCTTCTAATGCCTATATTATTTTTCTCTTCAAAATATTCCTGTGGCCTTGGTGTTTATAGATCTAGCATTCTAACAAAGAAAATGCATGAACTTTAATGTACACTATTCATTTTCTTTTGTTAGTATTTAGCTAACAAAGAGACCCATTTCGAGATTACTACTGGTTTAAATGCCCCATTTTACTTTCCTTTCAATAACATTTAACTTCTTTTTGGTTTTGTTTTTAGATATATTGCTTTTTTTAAGGATTTTATACTGATGGAACCTAAAATTTTTTTTCTCATTATTTCTTTTAATTAAATATGGAACTTCACTTGGTTATTGGCGACTTTTCTACCAAACCAGAAAGAATCTGTAGGGTACTCAGTTGGTTAATTCAGATTGGTGGGGTTCTTTTCCCTTCATCTAGGTTGGGGCAGGCAAAAAGGCAAGCAAGGAAAGTAGGTATCAGAGGAGTTAATTAGGCTTCCAGCAGACCTCTGGTGCTTATTTCTGGAGCACTGTATGTTTTGGCTATTGTTAGAACCTTATTATACTTAGGTAATTTATGTATGCCTTGATTTTAGATTGATATTTTAAAAATCACTTCATATTTTGACTGTGTGTTTTAGATTTTCCAGGAGTGCTCTGATGTTAAATATTTTTTCTCTCTGTTTTTTCATATATTCCTCAGTCAGAAAAATGCCCTTTCCCATATTTGATTCTTGTTTCATATACTACCTGGCTCTAGTCAGGTTACCTAAACATTTCTGAGTTACCATTATAAATAACCCACATTAGACTTTAATTTTAAAAAAGTATCATATAATTTATGTGCTATTAAGATAGGTGACCAGAGTACTGTCTTTTAGTTTTCTTCATTTAGAAATCTATAGATTTGACTTTTCTTTGTGAAATGGTTCTTGAATAGCGGTAATGACAAGAAATGTGGATTAGCAGTGCTAATAACATACTGAAGGAAGAGGAGTAGAAAAAAAGATTCTGTCGTCTGTAAGGAACTTAAATTAATGAGCAAAAAGCAACCCAATTAAAAAGTGGGCAAAGGACATGAAAAGACACTTTTCAAAAGAAGACACATATCTGGCCAACAAGCATATGAAAAAATTCTCATAATCTCTGATCACTAGAGCGATGCAAATCAAAACCACAATGAGATGCCATCTGATAATAGTCAGAATGACTATTATTGAAAAGTCAAAAATTAACAGATGCTGGCAAGGTTGTGGTGAAAAAGAAAGTATATACATTGTTGGTAGGAGTATAAATTGGTTCAACCATTGTGGAAAACAGCGTGGTGATTTTTCAAAGAACTTAAAACAGAAGTAACTCTGGACCTAGCAGTCCAGTTATTGGATATGTACCCAAAGGAATATAATTTGTTCTGCCATAAAGACACATGAACATATATGTTCATTGCAGCCCTGTTCACAATAGTAAAGATGTGGAATCAACATAAATGCCCATCAGTGATAAACAAAAGAGAAGGTGGTACATATATATATACACACACACATTGTGTAATATTATGCAGCTATATAAAAGATTGAGATCATATCCTTTCCAGCAACATGGAGCTAGAGGCCATTATCCTAAGCGAACTCCCACAGGAACAGAAAACCAAATACTCCATGTTCTCACAAGTAGGAGCTAAATATTGAGTACATATGGACATAAGGGAACAACAGACACTGAGACCTACTTGAGGGTAAAGGGTGGGAGGAGGGTGAGGATAAAAAAACTACTATGGGCCAGGAGTGGTGGTTCACGCCTGTAATCCCAGCACTTTGGGAGGCCAAGGTGGGCAGATCATGAGGTCAGGAGTTTGAGACCATCCTGGCCAACATAGTGAAATCCCATCTGTACTAAAAAATACGAAAAGTTATCTGGGCATAGTGGCAGGTGCCTGTAATCCCAGCTACTCAGGAGACTGAGGCAGGAGGTTGCAGTGAGTGGAAATTACACCATTGCGCTCCAGCCAGCGTGACAGTGTAAGACTTTGTCTCAAATAATCTGTACACCAAACCCTGGTGACACATAATTTACCTATATTACAAACCTGTACAGATACCCTTGATCCTAAAGTAAAAGTTAAAAGAAAGAAAAAGAGATTGTTTCTGACCAGAAATGGCCTGTGGATGAAGTCTTGGGTTTGCTGTGTGTGCTATCTTGAGGAGGTTTTGGAACTCTAAACTGAGAACCACTTACCCACAACTTTCTCCTTATTTTCATAGCAGAACAAGTTAATATCCACAGCTTTATCTCCTCTCCCTCTCCCTGCAGTATATGAAGTAACATATAACAAACAATTGGTTAATTTTCTTAGCTGTGTTAGAATTTTATGTGAATAAATGCATTGCTAACACACACATTCCCTGGCCTGCAAATTTTTGATAGAAAAGAACTAGCTTATCTCAGCTTTTTTCTTTAATTGAGCAATCAGTAATACTTTTCTAGTTACATAGCATATCATATGCTTTCTTCTCATAGTTTTGGCTTTATGAGTCTGTAGGTTTTATATGTGATGTGGGAAGGGTGGTTCACATGAATATTGGAGAACAGAGAACATTGATAGTTTTGGAATTCAGATTCCTAGGGCAGGTTTGGATATTTGACATAGAATGAGAGGAAATTAATATTACTATTGATGTCAAGATAAAGAGATTATAAAGATTTAAGCTACACTTTAGCTCTGTTCTTTTCTTTAGACTACAGTGCAAATAGCACATCATATGGTTTCTTCGTTTTTGAGAATGACTTCAACTTGAATGGGAATAGAGAAAGCTTATTGTATAGAATTCTTTTCAGCAAGATTCCTTTTCCCCCTACTGTGGAAGAAATGTGGAAATAGCTTTATTAGAATGCTTCTTTATAATGGATATTTTATATAGATATTTAGAATTTTATGCTGTTAAGTATTATTAATAAAATCAATGTGGATCTTTTTTTTGTGTGTGTGACGGAGTCTTGGTCTGTCACCCATGTTAGAGTGCAGTGGTGTGATCTCGGCTCACTGCAACCTCTGCCTGCTGGGTTCAAGTGCTTCTCGTGCCTCAGCCACCTGAGTAGCTGGGATTACAGGCATGTGCCACCATGCCCAGCTAATTTTTGTATTTTTAGTAGAGACGGGTTTCACCATCTTGGCCAGGCTGATCTTGAACTCCAGTTGTGATCCACCTGCCTCAACCTCCCAAAGTATTGGGATTATAGGCGTGACCATCACGCCCAACTCATGGTGGATCTTAGAAGGTAATTTCAGAATGTGTTAGAATTTTGAGATTTTAATAGCTTAAATGCATAAAATCCAGTTAGTAAAATACAGCTTCTGAAAACCTATTAAAACCTATTGTATCCTTGTCAGTGTGAATACAGGGATTATTTTATGCATATTTTATGTATAGTGGATTGGTTTACTGTATTGATAGCTGGTATTTCCAAGTATTGAATATGATTCTCTTAAAGGCCATCTAATAAAGACAAAAATAAGGAATTGAACTTAATTAATGGAGGAGAAAATCATTATTAGGTATATTAGTTTGCTAGGGCTGTCATAACAAAACACCACAGATTGGGTGGTTTAAACAAGAGAAAATTTTTTTTTAAACCATTTTAAAAGCTTGAAGTTCAATATCAAGTTTCTGTCAGGGTTGGTCTCTCCTGAGGCCTTTCTCCTCTGCCTGTCTCTTGTAGGTGGCTGCACTCTTGTTGCCCCTTCCCACATGATCATATCTCTTTGCCAGCATGCCCCTGCTGTCTCTTTTTCCTGTAAGGAGACCAGACTCATTGGATTAGGTCCCCACCCTAATGTCCTCATTTGAACTTAATCTCCCCTTTGAAGGCCTTATCTCTAAATAGCAATACGATCTGTGCTCCTGGGGATTGGTACTTCACCATGTGAATTTTGCAGGGGAACACAGTTCAGCCATTAACAGTTGGCAATTAAATCAATCAAGAAAGAAACAAGTAATTTGTGAGAATTACTTCTTCCTCCTTTATTCAATAAGGTTTATGTAGAAGTGCAATTGTTCTGTGTTTTTTGTTGTGTATCTCCTAGCCGGAGAATTTTCATCCTTGGGCCTTCTCATCATGTGCCCCTCTCTCGATGTGCACTTTCCAGTGTGGATATATATAGGACACCCTTGTATGACCTTCGTATTGACCAAAAGAGTAAGTATGTAGAAGTATTACAGCTTTGAAATAGCTAATGTTCTTTTAATAGGACTTGTAAATTAATTAAAAAACTTACAAATATGAATCATAAGTATGATTTTTTATGATCTCAATTACTTATGATTGAGATCATAAGTAATATCTCAATATTTAAAATAAAATTTGTTATAACTAATCTGCATAAAACAGCAAAAAAAAAAAAAAAAGGAAACTCTTCTATATCCCTAAAAGGCAACTGGTGTTTTTCAGTTAGCTCCAGAAATCTGTCAGATCTGCTAGTCTGCAGATTGCAGTGGTTACATTAATATTCAGGAAAATGCCATGTACTCAGTGTACCAGGAGACAAGAAATTAGTACCCATACCAGTTTCATGAAAGATTTTGGGCCTGTTAATCTACTTCTATGTAGTGTCACTTTTCTCACTGTAAATAGGTAATGCTGATAATATATTTTCTTTCAAATGATTTTTATGGGAAAAAATAAGCCTGTAATTATGAAACTCTGAAAGAAGGGTGCTATATAAATGATAAATATATTTTATTTTTAAACATGCCTACAATTTCGATTCACTTATTTTTTTCCATAGGATTCCAGTCACATTTTTATTTAGCTGTTCTTATACAATAGATGTATAGTAAAAACCTTTTGACTTTATAAAGGTATTTTTGGAGGGGGGTAATTTTAAAAATATAGAACAACATAAAGAATAGTATAAGAAATAACTGAGGTACTTAACATCCACAATTTATTCAGTTTCTCGCTCATCCTGAACTCAGTTTACCTTCCCAGAAGTAACCAGCTTCATGAACTGGGTATGTGTCCTTTCAGTTCATCAAATTATTCACACCCACACACCCACACACACCCATATATATACTTTTTTGTTTTTAAAGAGTCTCACTCTGTGGCCCAGGTTGTAGTACAGTGGCATGATTATAGTTCATTGCAGCCTCAAACTCCTGGGCTCAAGTTATCCTCCTCCCTCAGCCTCCCAAGTAGCTAGGACCCCAGGCACACATCACCACATCCAACTAATTAAAAAAATTTTTTTTGTGGAGTTGGGGCCTTGCTATGTTGTCCAGGCTGATCTTGAACTCCAAGTCTCAAGCAATTCTGTCTTGGCCTCCCAGTGTGCGCCTCTGTACCTGGCCTCAAATTATATTTTTAAGTATGTTAGGGGTGATATTGTTGCAAAGAATTTTGCAAAAATGTCTTGTGTAGAAGAAAAGAGTTGAGGCCTGGTGTGGTGGTTCATGTCTGAAATCCCAGCACTTTGGGAGGCTGAGATGGGCAGATTGCTTGGGCTCAGGAATTTGAGACCAATCTGGGCAACATGGCAAAACCCTGTCTCTACAAAAAAGTACAAAAATCTGATGGGTATGGTGGCAGGTGGCTGTAGTCTCAGCCACCTGGTGGGAAGGGAAAGGGCGGAGGGTGGGGTGGTGAGGTGGGAAGATGGCTTAAGCCAGGTAGGTAGAGATTGCAGTGAGCTGAAATCATACGGATGTACTCCAGCCTGGCCTGGGTGACAGAGTGAAACCCTGTCCCCAAAAATAAATAAATAAATAAATAAATAAATAAATAAATAAATAAATATGAGTGAAACCCTGTCTCCAAAAATAAATAAATGAATAAATAAATAAATAAATATAAATGAGTGAAACCCTGTCTCCAAAAATAAGTAAGTAAATAAAATAATAAAGGAGTCTATTTGCAAGAAAAAAAATCTTTTTTCTTATTTTGATATAAATTTTTATGATGGGGTTTGAGGTATCACAGAATGTTAGCAATTTGTTAATGCATCTTATTAATGAAACTGGAGTATTTCTAACCTTACTTCCTGAGATGGTTTTAGGGAACACATTTTACTTTTAAAATCTTGTTGGGGCATTCACAAAATTTTAATTTTGGGTAGCTTACCAGTGAAGAAATAGAGAATTTTTTAAAGAAAAGAGGCCATGCAACCATTTCTTTCTTTCTTTGGTACAGGTAAACCCATTTAAGGATCTGGTTATAAAGTTGTTGGTTCTCTTCTGTGCTACAAATATTCTTATATATATTTTTTACACATTAACTTTTACCTTTTTCTTGTTCTACAATATTCAATTTTAAGCATAGTTCATCAGAAGGGCCCGAATTACTAGGTCTTTTTAAGTTGGGATGGTATTTTGGCAAATTTATATTTTGATCTATCCTACAAGCTTAATTTTGAATTTTCAGGAAAATAGCATTAGGGAGAATTTTCTCTTGGTATGTCAGAAACCTGAGGTGTGAAATAATACCACACATTTTATTTAAAACTCAGAAACTATACTATTGACCACGAGTTAAATAGACAATTGGTTTTTCCATTTTTTAGTAGGAATTCTAATTATATTCTTGCTAGCATGTACTGATTAAAGTCAAGGAAAAGCCTAGACCCGAAGGTGATTTTAGAAATAATGAAGGGAACTGCTGAAGAATTGAAGTGATCTTTTTTATATAACTATGTAACATATGCAAATAATGAGTAAGTCTTTACATGTATTACAGTTTTACCTGTTACATAAAAACTAGTTCTGTTTTTTTTCCCTCTCTCTACTTCTTACTCACCCTCCCTCCTTCCTTTCCATTGTTTTGTTTTGTTTTAATACAAATGAGAACATTATCTGGTGTTTCTGTCTCTTCTGGTGTTTCTGTCTCAAAAGCATGTAGTTTTGTGTTATTGGTGGAATCTCAAAGGACAAGGATATACATTAATATATTTGTTTTACTATATTTTGAAATCTCTTTAGTTTATGGAGAACTATGGAAGACAGGAATGTTTGAACGCATGTCTCTGCAGACAGATGAAGATGAACACAGTATTGAAATGCATTTGCCTTATACAGCTAAAGCCATGGAAAGGTATATTGATCGATATTAGAAATCCCCAGGAAATCACAGACATTAATTTCTTTGGTATTTTAAAACTAGTAAATCCTAATAATTATCAGGACAAGAGATTAAGAAATGAGATAAAAAAATTGAGACAAGAGTGTGTTTATGTGGAGTGTTGGTTTTGAGTAGTTTGCCCATGGAGGATGAACATATGAATTGACATGATTTTTTATTAGTGGAAGTATTAAAAAAAAAAACTCATGGTTATGTGAGTGTATGTGGGTATGTGTATATCTTGCTTTGCTTCTATTTTATTCATTCAACATTTCTTTATCTCAGAATAATAATTACATTCTTTTATGGTAATGCTATAATTAATCATAAGATTTTAGACTTGTATTTAATTTTGGAGGTCATTTATTTCAACCTTTTGCAAGATACTTGAATCTTTTTATAATATGCATGGCAGATTATTATGTAGTACCTGCTAGAGGTCTTCCTGTGATGGGGTACTCACTGTACTGTGAGCAGAACAAGGACAAGGATGATACCTATTTTGTTCTCTACTGTATACCCCACTGCCAAGCACAATGTTCAGCACATAGTAGTTATTAACGTATTTTGATAAAATGAAAAAATTATTTCAAGGGTTTTCTTCTTTTAGTAAAACATTTGGATTAGGAAGTCTTCTCTTTTGTAGGTTTCTCTAATTTTTAAAACCATTTCCTATATATGGACTTAATATTTCATATTTAGTTGGGCAGTTCTAAGTATGGTAATATAATTCCTTCTCTGGATTTGTTCATTGTATTTTCTTAGTAAAGTACATGATGATGCTCTGTAGGCTCTCAGTAAATATTAAATGTACTAATAAAGTCTAAGATGACATTATATTTTTATGTTGATGTAGCTTACTATTGGCTAATGTACCTGTGCTCAGCTAAAACCCAAGGCCTTTTCATAATATTCAATGAATTATTTTCTGTTCTCTGACTTTCATGTGGTTGATTTTTTTAACCCTGAATGTGTATGTCTTCTTAATTATTGCTGTTAATTTTTTCTTGTTTAGCTTTTTGGATTATTTCCACTCTTAGTCTGTATTCAAAGTATTTTTACTTTTCTCAATATTTTATCTGCTTCTGCTCACAATGATAACCATGAGGAATTACATAAATTTAAAGAATTTCAAAAAAATCAGTGTGATACTACCTTATAAGCAGTATAATTTTAGGGTTTTTAATACATTATAATTCTTCAGAAATGTGAAACCTATATATTATTTCTTGAATTATTGATGTAATCAGAACTTTCTATTCTTCAACCAGAAAAGAAAATCAAATATTTTTATTTACTGAAATGTTTGCATATTTTGTCAAGAGAAAATATAATTTAGACTTAATAAATACTAATACTCTGGGTGCAGTGGTGCTTGCCTGTAATTCCAGCACTTTGGGAGGCTGAGCTGGGTGGATAGCTTGAGCCCAGGAGTTCAAGACCAGCTTGGACAATGTGGCAAAACTCCATCCCTACTAAAAATACAAAAATTAGCTGCGTGTAGTGTTGGGTGCTTGTAGTCCCAGCTACTTGGGAGGCTGAGGTGGATGATTGCTTGAGCCTGGGTGATTGAGGCTGCAGTGAGCCAAGATTGTGGCACTGTACTCCAGCCTAGGTGACACAGTGAGACCCTGTCTCAAAAAAACAGACACACAATAAAACCCCAAAAAACAGGACCAATAAACTCACAATATTCTCCAGGAGGTTATAGCAAAATAACATTTTTATTGTTATTTTAAAAGTAAAACATGTACATTGTGGAACATTTAGGGAAATAGAAACTTAAAGCCAACAGACAAAATTCCTAACTCCCTGTTTTAAATAGTATCAAATAAACTACTGCCACATTGCATTAGGATCCCTAATATTGATAGTACTTAGTACCTTTTCTTTATAGCATTAGTTGGACTCATCACCTTATGCCATTTATTTATTACTAAGTAACGAAAGCTGTTACTTAAAATTACTTATATCAGTTATCTATTACTAAGTAACAGATTTAAACTGTGACTTAAAATTGGGTCAGGGAATGCCTTTTTCCAGTCCACAAGACACTGAGGTGGCTCAAATGGGGCTACAGTATCTTGGATAGCATCACTCATGTGTCTTGTATCTTAGTGCTGGCCTCTGTTGAGACCCCTCATTTCTTCTGCAGCTGACCTGTTTGTTCATCAAGTACGGTGGTTTTTTTTTTTTTTTTTTTTGGTGGGTGGGTGTTACTCTCTAGAATAATAGCTTAAACGTGTTTCTTTTTTTTGATCATGAGAGTAAAACCAGAAATTTCTAGGCCTCTTATGTCCTAGGCTGGAAACTACATAGCACATTTCCAGTGAATTGTGTTTTTCAAAGCAAATAAGATCACTACATCAGCTAAGATTTAAGGAAAAGAGCAATATATTGCTTCTCTTGATGGGAGGAATAGCATGTATATACAGGAGGCAGGGAAGAGTCTCAGCTCTGTTGCCCAGGCTGGAGTGCAGTGGCATGATCATTGTTCAACTACAGACCCCGCCTCTGGTCTCAAGCAGTCTTCTCACCTCAGCCTCCCAAAGCAATGGGATTATAGGCATGAGCCACTGTGCTCGGCCTCTGTTTTTTGGTAAGGGACAGGGTCTCATTCTGTCACCCAGACTGGAGTGCAGAGGCACAATTATAACTCACTGTAGCCTTAAACTCCTGGGCTCAAGGGATCTTCCTACCTCAGCTTTCAGAGTTGTGGTACTACAGGTACTACTATGTCTGACTGATTCACTACCATATCTAGCTAATTTTAAAAACATTTTCTTAGCCTTGGAGTCTTACTATGTTCCTCAGGCTGGTCTTGAACTCCTGGCCTCAAGTGAGCTGCTTTCTTCAGTCTCCCAAGTAATGTCTTAGTTATCTATTGCAATATAACAAATCACCTCTATGTATGTATTTTTTTCTTTTTTAAAAAAGTTAAAAACTTTGATTTTTGTGCGTGCATGGTGTGTATGGGGTACACGAGATGTTTTGATACAGTCATGCAGTATAAATAATCACATCATGGAGAATGGGGTATTAAATACTTTAAGCATTTATCCTTAGTATTACAGACAGTCAAATTATACTCTTTTAGTTACTTAAAAATCTATAATTGAGTTACTGACTGTTGGTCACCCTGTTGTGCTATGAAATACTAGGTCTTACTCATTCTTTCTATTTTGTTTTGTATCCATTAACCATCCCCACCTACTGCGTAGCCCTCCGCCATTCTTCCGAGCCTCTGGTAACCATCCTTCTACTCCGTGTCTGTGAATTCAATAATTTTGATTTTTAGGTCCCAGAAATGTGTACTTTTTCACTTAGAATTCTATGGTTTAGAAATTTAGTTGGGTCAGTGGAGATAATTTGTCTCTGTTTGATCTGCTGTCATTTGAGGCAGCTTGGCTAAAGACTCCAAGATTTCCTAGCTTCCTCTCTGGGGCCCGTGGTGCTGGTTATCTTCTTGAGTTACATCAGTTTTCATCCTGGTTCTCATCTGCTTCTCTCTTCACATGGTGCACCCTCTCTAGCAGGACAGCAATTGAGCAAAAGTAGAAATTTCCAGCCCTTTTAATATCTAAGTATAGAACTGGCACAGCATCACTTATGCCTCATTCTCCTGGTCAAAGTGTGTCATAAGGCTAAATTCAAGGAGAGGGAACTACAGATGCTCCTTTTGATGGGAGGAGTGACATTGAGCATTGAGAGGTGGGAAGAAGTTTTGGTGATTAGATTTGTAGAAACTGTGGTTAAATACTTGAGGGATTATTTGTATATAAGTCTCTGTTCCTTCCATGGTAGTTCCCTAATGTTTACTGCCTGGAGCAGCTAGTCTTTACCATGTCTGCTATGCATAGCACAGTACCTGGTATACAAAAGGATTTTAGTAATTAATTGTTGAATGAATTAATAACTTTCTTGCCATTTAATACTTTAATTAAAAATTTTTTCCAAAAAGTGGATCAAATGTTCTTTTTTAAAAAAAATTACCTTTTTTAATTTTCAAAAAATAAACAATTTCTGAATCATCTTTGGCTATAAATATATATTTTTAAAAACTGCTTTTCTTGCCATGAATGTATTTTCCTGTCATTTTTTACTCCACTTTATTGGTTATACTTTCTAGTAAAGATTCTTGTAGTACTTTAATCAGTTCTTGACCATTTAACTTTTAAGCTTTCCCCTCATTTTTCACTATTATAAACCACATTATGTATTTTAAAAAATAGTTATGTCTAAGATATTATTTAAACTTCCGCATGTTTTTAATAGATTTAAAAATTATATTAGAGCTTTAAAAAAATAGTAATATGAAAAAGAAAACATAAAATGACTCGATCTCATTTCTCAGTTAACTCTACTGGCAAAAAATATATGTACATGGTTAGAAAATGTAAATAGAATCAAGAAGTGCAAAACGAATGGTGGAAGACTCTGGTTCTACTTAGCTTGTGTTTACTGTTAGTAAAAGTTTTATGCATGCATTAACATATTTTTGCATATATTAGTTTATGTGTATATGTTTATGTTAAAACATATAAACAAGAGATTTGTTATGTTTTGTCCATATAGTAAAAAAATTTTTTTCTTATGATTACTTTTTCTTTTATGTCACCATTTATTATCTTTTATATTGAAATGCATAATTTTACTATTCTAATTACTTTTTAAATTTTTTGAGATGGAGTTTTACTCTTGTCTCCCAGGCTGCAGTGCAATGGCACGATCTTGGCTCCCTGCAACCTCTGCCTTCCAGGTTCAAGTGAGTCTCCTGCCTCAGCCTCCCGAGTAGTGGGATTACAGGCAGGCGCACTGTGCCCAGCGTAATTTTTTTTTTGTTTTTGAGATGGAGTCTCATTCTGTTGCCCAGGCTGGAGTGCAGGGATATAACCCCGGCTCACTGCAACCTCTGCCTTCCTGGTTCAAGCGATTCTCCTGCCTCAGCCTCCTGAATAGCTGGGAGTACAGGT